GAGAGAGAGAGAGAGAAAAGATAATACAATGGAGAAAGTGGAAAAAAAAACACTAGCAGTTTGCTCTCTAACATATGACCAAAGATACTTACCATGTATCCTATGGATTTTGAAGTGCAGAAGAAATATGTGAAAAAGTGTTTATATGTGATGCAATGCAACAGGAAGGAAGCACGTTGTGTTGCAACCTAAGTGAAATCAGTTACTTATTCTAGGCTCTTGATAATCTAGTTGTTTATGTAGGTCCCTCGTTTGGATATCAACTTAGCCTTCCATAATGACAGGTGCACCTTTTAGGTTTGCATTATCAGTAGGCCTCTAGGCTGTGCATAATTAGGGTTTCCTGTTTTTTAGTTATCATTGTGTGCTTCTGGACATATGACCTAAGTTTGGACAAGTTGGCCAGATATGAGGCAATCAATTGCATTGTATTGAAAGTTTTTGTTAAGTGTTTCAGTTCCTCACAATTTTAAAGTAACTTACATATAGATTTCTAAAGCTGTTAGAATAATTTAGATTTTTGGATAATATTTAAAAATAGAAGTTTAAGAAAAATTGTTCACTTGATATTTGTCTTGCCCTAGGGTTTCAGGGCTTCTTCTTGTTTCCATGGGATTGATCTCAAGGAGAGTATGGAATGATAGAGCAAATTGAGGTGGGTTAATTGAATTAATTTAGTTTTTAGAATGCTCAGTGTGAGTCTTAGTTTTTTCTGCATCATATTTGGGTGCATTTTTTTTTGTTTTCTTTTTTGTAATTTCTTACAATAGTTTAAGTTTAAATATTCATATCTTACTTTTTCCATACATAAATTGTAAGTGAGGACGCCTCGGATGTTCATCTGATACATTATGCAAGTATGCATTTTGATGATGTGGACAGTGTAAGTTTTATTCTTGGTATATGGTTTACCATTAAAAAAAATGAAATGGTACGTGGTTTGGTGCTCTTAACTTAGGTTTATTCTTAAATGGTATATGGTTTACCATTCAAACAAATAAAATGGTACGTGGTTTGGTGCTCTTAACTTTTCCCTGTAAATACACAATAAATTGAGAACCAGATTACTTCTCCAAATGATTGTTTAGATCCCTTAAAAGGATCACATCTTCACTTTTTCCCTTCAAACTATCTTAAAACAGAGTTACAAGCCCAATGTAGTGCTGAAATTATCAAGATCTCATTCTTTACGGCTTTGTTGAAATCTAAGAATTGGTTGGCCATCATCAAAATGGGTTGATGGTTGCACTCCATTCTATTCAAACATACCCTATTTATATTATAAACCTACCATTGTTTATCCAGATTAAATCTGAAAATGGACTGGAAATGAATTTCTGTGCTCTGTCAAGCGTCTAATAGTTCTATTGAGAACTTTTATCTATTTCAAACATCTCCCTTGAGGATCAAAACACTTCTAGATTGAGGGATGCAAGTGTTTTTGGTTGCATCTTAAGGAGACACTAGTATCTTGTAATGATCTTTTCATAGATTTCTTAGTTTTTTCTACATTTGATTTGGTTGTTTTTATTTATTTTAATATTTTTTGTGGGATATAGTTTCTTAATTTTTGTTGCAGCTGAATATACACTGCATAGTGGTACAAACAGATTCCAGATGCAAATATTAATGATGGTTCGGTGATAATACCTTTCTTCAGCAAATGGGCATATGGAAATTGGGTAAGTTGTATGGGATTGTATACAATGCGACCATTTACCTTTGATGCAAGGTGGTCACAACTACTTACAACCATCCGATGTGAAGTTTGATAGCTTGGATTTGTCACAAAGTTCGAGAAAATTTCTTTGGAAGTTTGAGCTTGGTCAATGGAATAATTGCAGCCACCCAATTTCACATCCCATGGTCAAGATTAATGTCTCACCTTGTACCAACGGTAATTGGTCTTATTCTATACTTTCCCGAGTTGTATTTTCTTGCTTAGTTGAAATGCGGATTTGACTCATGTATTCTCTGTAAATATTTGGAAAGTGCTAACTGTATCAGTTCTGTAATATATTCATTGGGCGCTTTCATATATTTTAAAGACTTTATTCAACATCTATTTGAAGAGGAATTAGCATGCTGCATTTTAGTTCTAAAGTTGTTTCTTTTAGTTATTTGCAGCATATACGATGTTTGTGATCATACTTGTTTTGCAGGAGACAAAGATCTCGAATGTTGTTTTAAGATATTTCTATTTGGGAATTTTGGTTGAATCTTTATGCATGGATTTCTTCGCTAGTGGTGTACTCCAATCTCCTCATAATGGTCATAGTCATCGTCATTGTTGTGATCATATAGTTGCATAGCCTACTTATCTTCTTTCTATAACCATAGAGCTCTTTTATTCAAAGTAAATACTAAACAAAAAATAGAAAAACTGTACGTGTTTAGAATGAACTACAAACTTTGGGAGAGGCTTCCAAAACTATACATGCAAAGTTTTGTCAAGCTCCTCCAAGATACAACTCTAAGAAAATCGAGGGGAAATAACAAATTCGCTTCTTTTGAAATTGGGGTTCATTGGCCCACACTTGATCTAGACTACCATCTCTCTCTCTCTCTCTCTCTCTCTCTCTCTCTCTCTCAATATATATATATATGTGTGTGCATACATAGATATATACATATATATACATACATATATACATACGAAAAAAATTTATATAAGGTGCACCTCAAAAATTCATCGAAAACATGAAGTTTTGATGTTGGAAAACCATGTAATTGATCATCCCGATGTCGAGATGTATACATATGGGAAAAAAAAGGATTTTAAGTCCCAAAAATAGTACATCTTGTAATGCATAATTTGGACCGCCTATGTTCAAGATTTTCATGCGTTTATCTATCTACTTGATTGGAACTATTTTTAGAGTTTAAAATTTTATAATTATAAATGAAAATAGATTTGACTCCAAAATTAAGTATGATGATAAAGTTTGGAGGTGCACCTTACTTTGATTGTTTAAGGTTGCAACCTTATGCAAACCACGTCTTATACATATATCAATATATATATCTATATATGAGTAGAGCTACCAATAGATTGTAGTAAACTAAAATAAGTAGCAGTTTAGGTTATGCTTCCAGATCTTGATTGGTTGGTTGCAAATGCATGTTACTATTTGAATTTCAATCTTTTTTCTACAAATTGGATCAAAATGAAATTTTTGATATCTAACAAGCAAACACATTCGACTCTTTAAGAAAAAGACTTAACCTTTTATGAATATCTAATAGCCTCCTAACCTTTCATGCAAGCGACCTATGTGTACACCATGGGACACATTAAACCATACTCCATACTCAGACCCTAGTGCAGCCTCAGAAGATTCCCTATATATTCCTGAGATATTCCATCATCTTGAGATATTCCAAATATCCTAAATTTCCCATTTTGGGAAATTGCAACGTGAAAATAAGCAGGAACTGTGCCAGAAAGAAAAAAAAATCTCGAATTGCAGCCCCAAGGAAGTGTTCGATTTCGGTCAGACCACCACGATCAGACTCCGCGCAGTCTCCAATAGTGACCAAAACTGTCTAGGGCTTAATATCAGGGGTGTGTCCCTGAGTTCATTTGGCTCAATGCCACTCCTTGTGCTGCCAAAATTCTGACAGCCCAGATTTAATCTGGACTGCTACCTTTCTTTTTTGGTATGTTTTTATCTAAAAAAGAACATATCTGGCCATTTTTAGGGGACCTTAGTGATGAAACCTAACCCTAGCCTCTAATACTGAAGATCCAACCTTAGACTTAGGTCATTCAAACGCTAGATCTAGGACACTGTTCCAGCCAATGTCAAACAAATTCATTCAAATCAAATGCCTTAGAAGTAAATTCTTAGGCACCAATCTTCCTCGGAGTGCAATCAGACAAAACGGATATGCAATCTCAAAGATCAAGGAGCAAGACTCATCATCATTGTCTGATATGGGCCCAACTTCAGTTGCCGGGGCCTAGGGCCCGACCTCGAGATTCATTTTTTTTGTGTTCTCTTCTTTTTATTATTTGCCTTCTTTCATCATTATTTACTTTTATCTTACCACTATTTTCTTTGTTATGCTTGTTTCTTTTTAGTGTCGTATTTCAGATTTACTTAAACCTGAGCCAACTCGACTAGTGAGAAGAAAGGTCTTTTGAGGCTGATCTGCTCATAAATCGTCAATAGGTGGAACCCACCTCTTCCGATATTTTAAAACTTTAAGTTTGGAGACCATCTTAGACAGATCGGACTTTTAAATAGTACGCTTAATCTCATAATCGTGTGAACAGTTGTTCCTAAAATGCATATCCAAATTATTTTTAGAGGGTAGAGTAGTGATTTTTTGTTAAGTGTAAGCAGGTGCCATGGTTAGACATTTACCCAAATAACCAGATGTTGTTGTCTTGAATGCTAATTTTAGAATTTCTTGTAGTATTTGTGATTAATATTCATTTTTTGTTTAACTAGAATAGTTGGTGATTTTCAGTACTGGATACCTGATTTGAGTTTTCTTATCACTGTGTTTAGCTTTATCACCTCTGTTCTTCCCAATGGTGTGAACTTGATCTAAGATGCCCCATGCAGACTGATGATGATGATGATATTTATATGGAAAATGCTAGGGTCAGCTCAACAGCTGATGGAATAGTATAAGTCCAACGACTTAGATTGAATATGGATCGATCTGACGGTCAGGACTGTATTTCAGTAATATAATTTTAATATTTTTTATATAAATCCAAATAATATGAAATTTGGAAAGTAAATTCTTCTCATCAGGGCGCACCTAATAAAATATTAAAAAAAAAATTTGTGTAAATTAAATTGACCAAAATACCCCGGAAACTTTTCAGGGGCATTTTAGTCAAATTACTTTTTGTGAATTATTTTTTATATTTTTATTAGATTCCACTATTGTTTAAGAATAGACGCTCTAAATTTCAAGTGATTTGGATTTGTAAAAAAAATATTAAAATTAAATTACAAAAGACAATTGTGATCATTGGATCGGCCCAGATTCAATCTGGGCCATTGGGCTTACACTATTCCATCAGCCCATGGGTTGACAGTAGCTTTTTTTATATATATATATATATGGTTTTGTTAGGCTACACCACTTGGTGGTGTAGATCCTTAAAGTGCCCAACATTTTTTGACACAAAAATACCCTTGAATTGTAATACAAAATTTTTCAAGTAGGGGTATTTTTGGTCATATAGAAGGGTAGAATGGATACTTTCATAAGAAATTAGTGGCATTCTATTAGTAATTAAAAAATTAATATCTTGTGGGGGATGTCACACACCATATCGGTGATGCCTTTGTTCACTATTATTAATAAATGCTTTTGTTTCTATTAGAAATTTCTAGTTTACCCTTGACTAATTATTTAAAATACCCATAAGCAAAAAGTTACTATATTATAGGATAAGGGTATCTAAAT